TGTACACACAGCAACAAGCGTAGGATGTCTAACGGGAAATTCGTCATCTGGGCCGCATCGATCAAATGTCCATGCAACGCTCTCTCGTACGCCTTGGACAAGTCGAGGAGGCCCGTACCTGCACAAGTGTTCGTAACCCGAGCATGCTCTGCAGTAAAGGCCTGCTCCCAGACCCCACGTTCACAAGGCATGCCTGTGCTTCCGTACAAGAGGTCACGCTTATTCTTCTTCTCCCATTCGGGAGCTACAGATCTGGCACAGCGCCCCCGTACTCGCACAACGGTGGAAAGGAGACCAATGGGCCGAAATCCGCCCTCCGGCTTCTCGAGCATTGCAATCATAATCAAGGAAGCCTGAGACGGGAGTCTGCCCGTGTCAAGCATCCAGTGCCACAGTAAGCCCAGGACTGTGAGGCAGTGGTCAGACAAATACACGAGGTCACGAGGGCTCAACCTGTCTGCCCCGACAGCCGTCCGCTCCTTGAAGGTCCTTGCCACCTTGCGGATGGTGTGGCAGTCAAATGGCGGGATGCTGGCGGCCTCCTGCGGATCGATGCCTTCCCTCTCCAGCATGAGGGACAGGCACTTGAGTGGGTCGAGCTTCTCTTCGGCGGAATCCTCGACCGCGTCCTCCACGGGCGCCGTTGCTCCCCAGATCTCACTCCACTCTTGCTGCAACGTCTCGACTTGCTCACCGGGCCCCATAGGAGCCCCGTCGGGTCCTGGCTCGGGTGATTTCGTGAATCGGTGGGCTGTTCCCGCTCCGTGCTCACACGCTTCTGCAGCCCACCTCCTCCAAGCTGTGCAGCGGGCCCTCGCAAAGGCCTGCTCCAGCAAGGAGGCGAAGTAGGCTGCCTCTCTTGAATACTCATCCAGCTGCCCATCTGTCAGAGCCAGAATGCCTTCGAACGACGGGCGCCAACGTCTCCAGAAGTCAACCTCTTCGCCAGGCGGCCGACTGCCCAAGATCTTAGAAATCAATTGCATGCAATGCTGTGGGAAAAGGCATTCCGCCCGACGAGCAATGCAAGCCAGCTCCTGAAATCTAATCGAGACCTTCCTCCACCCACGAGCCGTAGCACAAGATAGAGCATGCGGGCCTCCTGAAGTCTGCAGCTCCTGCACCCTGCGCAACTTCCAGCCTTGCCCCCGACCGCGATACTTCCTCTCGTCTGGGCCCTGGATCCCATGGACCGAAATGAGTTCTGTCTCCACGAGATCATAGAACATCTGGCAAACTCGATCCAATGCTTCCTGCCCACAGCGCTCGCTCGAATGTGACGCGTCCTCTCCCCAGTGAAGAATAGCCTCCTCAATGGGCCCCCAGTCAGGCGGGGCAGGCAAGGGCAACTGCGGAGCCTGAGTTGGGAACCTCCTGGGACCTGACAGCGCCATATACTCAGTGCGTACAAGTTGTGGTCGCAACCGCAAGGCAACTGGGTAATGAGGTGTAAGACATGAGCCCTGCACTAGTTCAACTCGTTCGATTGATGGGGCTAGACCAGACGAGACCATGAAAAAGTCAAGCTCCCTCCAAACATGTCCTTTCCTGCGCGTGGCTACCCCGCATGCTGCAATATGTCCTCCCACTTTGCTAACCCAGCCAAACGTTCTGAGCTGCGATGGTGGGCAATTCCAGTCTCCGCCAACCACAAACGGTAGACGCAAAGAGCGAAGCACTTCTCCCAATCGAAACAAGACCTGCGAACCGACATCTCCCAGGGGGTCCCCTGTAGGCAAGTGCAGCGAGACAGCGAGGACCCCCCCTGGGATGATACTGTTAACCCATGCCATCGTGATCCTCGGGGCCGAAGGCAAGGGCTTCCCTTTCCACGGAGCGGCAGACATCCCAACATGAACTGGAACAGCAATGCCTACTCCTGATGATAACCCCCCCGCCTCAGTGATTCGGCAAGGACTAAACATGGCTGACCACGACCAGCTCTTAACCTTAGCCTCCTTCTCATCCTTGGCGGAGGGGTGCACTCCCACTTCCTGCAACAAAACAACGGCCGCGCCTGCAGCCTCCTTCTCCAAGAACTTCTGACAGTTACACCAATCTGAAGCGTTGGCCGTCAGGACCGTGTACACATCGGGCCGAGCCAGCCCGTCCCTGCTACCCTCGCATTCCTGCGTTCTGAGCCGCCTGCACGGTTGTGGGCGCCAAACCTCCGCTGCTGCCTCCTCCTCCTGCAGTCGCTGCTCCACCTCCCTTTCTGCCCTTGGCCCCCCCCCCTTGCTGGCAGCAGCCTTAGCTGCCGCGTGCAGTTCCTCTGTGGACTTGGGGGGCCCAGGGCTCGAATCGGAAGAAGGTGTTGCCTGCTGCTGCCGGCTGAGGTGCTGCTGCTGCTGCTGCTGCTGCTGCGGCTGCTGAGGCCGACTGAGCTGGCTGCTGACGCTGCTGCTGCTGCTGCTGACCCACGGAGCCCCCAGTAGCATCGCCATCGTCACCGCCAGCTGTAAGCCCCTCCTCAGTGCGACGCTTCTTTGCTGCAAGCCTCGCTTTGAGTTCTTTTTGCTGGTTAATGGCATCCTTGGCCTGCTCCCGAAAGGGCCCAAAAGCCTGCAGCGCTGCCTCCTTAAAGATCTTAGCCAGGTGCTCCTTCCTCTTCTTCGCCTCCTCCACCTCCTCAGCCGATGGCTCCCATCCCGCCTCCTCCAGCCCAAAAAGGCCGCCGTCATCCAACTGAACGCCTTCAAGACACCCGTCCATGAGAGACTCCAGGGATAGTACTGGCTTGGCTGGCTGAGGGGGCTGCTGGGGCTCCTGGGGCTGCTGGACTGTGGAGGCGAGCTCCCTGACAGCTGTGGCGTACTGCTCTTTGGCCCTCTCGAGGGCCACAAAGGCGTCGGCACTGTCCTTCTTCGCTTGCTCCAATGATTCCTGCAGATTCGTGGCTCTGTTGACTGCTCGATCCAAAGCGGCCTGGCACCTCTCCATCGCCTGCTTCGCGGGCCCCCACTGCAGCTTCGGCGGCTGCTCGAGGGCACGAAGCTTCTCACGATGCTTGCTGGCAGCCTCGAAGTCTGAATTGGCCTCGAGAAACTGGATGACCGAGTTGAGTTCGCCGTTGGTACTCCCTGGAGTTCCTGACGAAAGATTGTTAGATGCCGACCAAGTCCCAGGAGCAGAAACAAGATCCCCAACACCAGGAAGAGCAGACTGACGTGCACCCCACACTCCCTTGGCCCCCGACCGGTTATCTTGATATTCCCCGACTCCTGTCCACTGGCGCCCGCAGTGCTTGCACCACGTCCACCAGTACTCGTTCGCTTTGCACCCGCACGCCCCACAACACCAATTCCCAGCCCGAGAACCATGCGCTGGCACAGCGCGCCCCCGCACGCCGACCGAAGGGTGAGGCCGTGGCCCCCCGCACAGCACACTTGGCTACTCGAGCCGAGGTTGGGAAGTTAAGGAGCAGGCCCCTTGAGCCAAAATGGCTACGGTCCTCCTCCTCCTCCTCCTCCTCCTCCTCCTCCTCTCCTCCTCCTCCTCCCCCTCCTCCCTCCTCCTCCTCCTCCTCCTCCTCCTCCTCTCCTCCTCCTCCTCCTCCTCCTCCTCCTCCTCCTCCTCCCCCTCCTCCTCTCCTCCTCCTCCTTCTCCCCCCCTGGTGCACCCGCTCCTCGGGGGGCCACCCCCCCCGTGGGGCCAGGCCTCCCCCCTTGTGACCGCCCCCGGGGCCTGCCCCGTCGGCGCGGCCTCGTGGCCGCCGGCGCCGGGCCACGCGGCGCGCGCCCTCTCATCTCCTCCCTCCTCCTCCTCCTCCCTCCCCTCCGCTCTCCTCCCTCCCTCCTCCTCATCCTCCTCCTCTCCTCCTCCTCCTCCTCATCCTTCTCCTCCTCTTCCTCCGCCCCCTCCTCCTCCTCCTCCTCCTCCTCCTCCTCCTCCGCCCGACTTCGCCCGGGCCCGAGCCCCTGGCCTCGGCCCCGGGCCCGAGCCCGAGTCACGGGTCGAGCCCGAGCCCGAGCCCGAGCCCGGGCCGACGTCCTGCCGTCGCCTCTCCCCTCCTCGTCGTCCTCCTCCTCCTCCTTCCTCCTCCTCCCCCTCCTCCTCCTCCTCCTCCTCCTCCTCCCCCTCCTCCTCCTCCTCCTCCTCCTCTTCCTCCTCCTCCGCGCCGTCGCTGCTCAAGCGGCCGGCCGCCCAGATATGATTGTGCTTCACTGTGAGGCGTACGATTCGCCATCGAGACCAAAGGGATCTTCCTCCCGGTCAAGATGGTACGCCCTCTAATGGTGGGACTATTGTTTACTACGGTGCAACAGAGCTGGGGCTGAGCTTGGGCGCCATCCTTCGGAGGAGGGGGGCGCAGACCCCCGACGCCGTGACCTTGTCACAGCGTCGGCCCCAGAGGTCTGGACCCGCACCCGGAGGCCGACAATACAAGCGAAAACCTCGCGGCGCGATTTTTTCAGTGCGCTTGATCTCTGGGGAGAGGGTCACTGCCGATGCGGCTGTCCGTCTTGGAGCGCCCTCGTCGCTCGAGGAGGGGAAGGCGGCACAGACACGAGCTGTACCCCTGCAGCTGCCCGTGCGTCGCTTTCTCGCCTCTCGGGGGGCCCCCCAGGAGAGCCCTTGTCGTCACGACTGGATTCTCGTCGAACGTCTGGCCAGAACATGCCCCAGGAGATGTCCAGGAGGTAGCGATATCGGTAACTACCTTCTGGCTCACCCCATCCTGACCAGGCGATCGTCTCGGATGCACTACTGATGGTCCCGGGGCCCGAGCAGTGCTCCCAGAAACCCAAGCTGAGGAACAAGGCCGTGGCCGAACTTATTCGAGCCCCATGGCTCCCTTCTTCGCCTCGAACGCTGTCCCCCTGTCTCTCGAGGATGGAAAAGTGGCATGAACATGAACTTTTGGCGGAGCGCGCCAGGGGCGGCGCCGGAAGGGCCGCCAGGGGGTCCCAGCGCAGATCCAAGAAATCCGCACGGAGCGCCAAAAGTTTCTTTTTGTGGCGTTCTTTCTTTGTCTATTTACGTCTCGCTCAGTGAGTCAGGCAAGCTACCTTCCACAATTGCCTGAAGTGGCTGGAGGAGCTTCGCCAGAACGCGGAGCCGAGCCTCACTGTCATGCTAGTGGGCAACAAGGCTGGGAGAAGGGATGGCTCGCTGGCATGGGGCGTGAGGGCGCGTCGACGAGGAAGATGGAGGGCAGAGGGGGGGTCAGTAGTAGTAGTAGTAGTAGTAGTAGTAGTAGTAGTAGTAGTAGTAGTAGTAGTAGTAGTAGTAGTAGTAGTAGTAGTAGTAGTAGTAGTAATAGTAGTTAGTAGTAGTAGTAGTAATAGTAGTAGTCGTAGTAGTAGTAGT